TAGGGATGTCGATAGGTATACCATCGATGGAGCATCCATCAACACTAATGACGACGTGTTGAGGCTCAGCACCATCATTACGTCGACGGTACTAGACTCCCTAAGCAAACTCGGGTCTCCCAGCTCAGGGTCCCTGAACACAACAGTGGTTCCCAAAAACCCTGTAGGTGATTCGACCCACGTTAAGAGAGCCCAAAAGAACCAGGCATCACCGCCTAAGCCGAGCAACCCAAGTGTTGCTGCACGGAAAATAACTGGTGATTTGGTCGCACAGTCTACCCCCAAGACTGTTCGTCCGGTCAATAAAGAGCCCAAGATTCAAAAACGCACACTGACCTCCAAACAACAAGTTATTAAACCTGAACCCATCGTGAAACCTGGTAAATTAACAACAGTTCGTGACGATTCTCTCATTATCATGAACCTCGTTGACAATCCTGACCTTCCTCTCAGTCTGCAGGACAAAAACGACAGGATGCTCTGGGGTGAATTGAACTTTTTTTTTTTACTTCCTAGAATAGAGCCTTTGACGGTCACCCGGCTCACTCGAGGAAAGGATTCTAAGCATCTAAATCACCCGAGGCTTCTCCGAGTAACATTTAAGAATGCTACCGACGTAGAGGACGTCTTGCTAGCAAGTCACTTGCTGAAATCAGATGGTAACGTAAGAATATTGCCCGACATACCGTACTCTGAGCGCAATATCATACGAAACATCCCTAAAGAATCTCGCGAGAAGTTTTTCCGCGGAAGAAACATAATTGTTCAAGGTATACCGGAAAATGCAGACCCTACTCAATCACATTCTGACATCAGGGAATGGAAATTCATCAAACAGTCCTTGAGGCTCAAACACATACTGACTCAGCATGTGACGAGACTAGCCAAGAAGGACGGTGACCCTAGACCCCGTCTAATGAAGATAACCTTCCCATCTTCCCACATGGCGGCTGCAGTTCTGGAAGCATTTCGTGCTAATAGACGTCGATTGCCACCTGGAATCCACATGCACCCGGATAGGCCATACGAAGCTAGGACCAAGAACAAAGGCAAGTTGGAGCTGACCATTCCACTTGTGGACTGTCTAAACGATAAAAAAACGTGTAAAGGACAGGGCCTACCACCTCGGCAAACCTCATATAGGTGGGCTACCTGTCCATTCACATAAGGTTCATACAGAAAAACAGGACGAAGCTCACGCGTTCCAAATTGAAAGCATAAACTGCTTATATATGAACGCCGCGAGTCTACCAAACAAACTGGATGAACTACGTGAACTTAGCAACGCTAATAAGGCCCATCTGATAGGAATATCTGAAACCTGGATATCTTCTCAGTTCTCGGACCAAGAGTTAGCATTACCTGGGATGACTTTGTTCCGCAACGACAGAAAAACAGGAATTGGGGGCGGAGTAGCCATATACATAAGCTCTTGCTTGGAGGTGCACCAAGTTCACAACCTCGAGTTTAACAATCTTGAGGAATCCATATGGTGCTCTGTAAGATTGTCTAGTACTTCGAGGTGTCTAGTCGGAGTCATTTACAGGAAGCCAACTGCCGACATCGAGTACGATAGTCGTATGCTGGAAGGACTATCCCGCTCTATCCGTCTCGGTTTCACACACATCCTGATTCTAGGGGACTTTAATCTCCCTAGAGTCAACTTCGCGGAACACACGTACACTGGAGGCGACAACTCAATTGAAGCTCGGTTCTACAACCTCATCGATGACTTGGGCTTATATGAAAATGTGAGGTCGGCAACTCGTTGGAGAAACAGTCAGACACCATCGCGCTTAGACTGTGTATTCACTAACGAAGAATTCCTAGTCGACAACCTCTCAATCCTGGCTCCTCTGGGAAAAAGCGATCATGCCGTCATAGCCTTCAGTTTTGTCATCAAAACTAAGCTAAGGTATCCCAACAATAATTTGCGTTGGAATTTTAAACGGCTGAATGTGCCAGCTCTACATGACTATCTACAACAGGTGGTTTGGGATGTTCACCCTCAACTCGATGTGGATGGTCATTGGGACTTCTTACTGCACACGCTCTTATGTGCTACAGACCATTCAGTTCCTCAAACGGTTCCCAAAAG